TGCGAGTCCCTCACGGAGGGGCTGAGGGACAGCGGGGCGCTGGCCGGGGCTGGCTAGCAGGGGGTCCCAGGTGCACTAGCTGAAGGGTGGGGTCGGGCCCCATGCAAGGCAGCAGGTGGCAGCAGGAGCAGTGACCTGGTTTGCAACATCAGCTGTGGGGAAGCAGGAGGCGGTGGACCGGCACACACCACGTGGGTCAGGGATGTGCCAGGGGTGCTGTGGCCTGCTGGGCGCCCTGGCTCCTGGCCTTGGCTCCCTGCCAGTAAGAAGCAGTGGCAGGGGGCGGGGGGAGGCAGTCCCACCTCCAGGCAGGGGGGCCTGGGGGGGCCCTCGAGGCAGAGCGGAGCCCCACTGCCCCACTCTGACGCACAGAGGCGCGCTGAGTGCTTCTGAGTCATCACCAAAGATGGGACACCTGGGGACAGCAAGGCCTGAGGCCTGGCGAACCTCCGGGGTGAGGCCGGGGAGGGAAGGTGTGCTGGTCACCCAGTGGCCTCTTGGCTCAGACCTGTCACCGGGGCAGGCGGGCCACCAGCCTCTCAGTCTGATGGGTCCCACACCCCTCGCAGAGCTGAGCCCAGTGCTCTTCCAGGGCCGCCCCGGTTGCCGCCCCCCCAGCCGCCCCAGCCGGGAGGGGGGACTCTAGCCAGACACCAGCGGGCTCTTCTCTGCAAGGCCTGGAGCCCTCCTTTGCCAGAGCAGCAGGCAGGAGCTCAGGGACCCTTGATCTGGGTGTCTCTCTGCCCCGGACCCCCTAACTTCATGTGGGAGGCACATTGTGAGCCCGTTTCCCCGTTGGGAAGTGGCACAGTCGTGTCCTTGGGCACGAGTGAGACGTGGACAGCACACGCGGCCCCACGGGTGACTCCCAGCAGTGACGAACACACACAGGGCCGGCTCCCTCGCCGTAGTGACCGAACGGCTGACCCTCCGAAGGCTACGGGGCTGGGCGCTGGAGGGGGCTGGGCCCAGACCTGGGGGGCGCCGGGCAGCGGGACGCCCCGTGGCCCAGTCTGAGTGATGCCGGAGAAGGGCCCACAGGGCACCAGGCCAGGGACAGGAGCATGTGCCCCTGACCTTGCCCTTTGACCTGAAGCTGAGCCAGGGAAGCCACGTTGGCAGGAAGCTGTCCTCGTCACCAGAGCAGCCCTGGGGACTACTGTTCCGGAGACAGGGCCCGTCCAGGGGCTGCCCCGCCCCCGTGGGAGCCCACCCAGCGCCCTGGAGTGGGTCTTGTGACACTTGACCAGCCCACGGGACAGGGAATAGGACAGTGAGTTGAGAGTCGGGGAAGTTTGGTTTTCCTTGGATTTTTAAAAAGACTTTATTTATTTATTTTTAAAGAGAGGGAGAGAAACAGCAACGTGAAAAACACCAATCAGTTGCTTCTTGTAAGTGCCAGGACTGGGATTCGAACAGGCGAACTTTAGCTTTGCTGGACAAGGCCCAAACAACGGAGCCCCAGCCCTCGGAGTTTCCTTGGTCTTTTTAAAATAAAGTCTTCACGACGAGGCGATTTTAGATTTACAGAAGACTCGAAAAGGTGGGGTGCGGGCTCCCGCGGGCCTGTGGGCTCCCCGCCCTTCTGTCGTACAGGCTTGGTCAGTCGTCACTCTGCGATTGACCTCGCTGTGTGGTGCTAATTACACTCCAGACTTGACCTGTTCTTCCTGTCTTCTGTCCCAGGACGCACCCCAGGCGGGAAGAAGAGGCATTCTGGCAGGTGGAATGGCAGGGGCAAAGGCCAGGAGGGGGAGGCCTCAGCGCCAAGGCCCCTACCCTGCTGCCTGAGGAGGGCCCGCTGGTTGGGCGGCGGCTGGAGGTGGGCTTTGGGCTGTGCTGTGAGGTGTGGAGGTGACCCAGATCCTGGGGAGCAAGCCTGGAGGCTGGAGCAGGGAGGTGACCGGTAGCGTGGGTGTCAGGCGGAGGAAGAAGTGGGAAGGACCGGAGTCAGGGCTGCAGGGTGGGCGGGCGTGGGGCGGCCTCTGCTCCGCCGCCCTTCCTTGCAAGGGGAGCCCCGCCCTACACTGCGGTGTTCTCAGCCACTAAGTGGACGGAAGATGAAATCAGACCCACCAAGATCGCAATAAATCCACGGAAGGCAGCACTGAGCTAGAAAAAAACACCTACTTCTCCAGCCCTAAGTGTCCGTCACGAGACGGATGGACACGCCCGCTTGGGCGGGCGGGCAGGAGGGCGACCGCTGGTGCTTTCTCCTCCGCAGGCCCCTCATCACCGGCCCCCGCTGCCCATCCGCACGGGCCCCTCCCCAGGGACCCCCCCCCCCGATGTCGGAGTGGGGGCGGCCCTGCATTTCCCAGAGCACAGCCCTGCGGTGACCTTGGGCGAGGCCTCGCGCCGCCCCGTTGCAAAACTGAAAAATCTGGGCGCAGAATGCGGCGCTTCCGCAAGCCCCGCGCCAGGCGGACGGAGCGATGGTTCGCTCCACCTGGGGCCTGGCCCCACCGCGTCCCTTCACGCCGGGCTCCGGGTGGTTCTTCCCTGGCGGCGGTCGCCCCTGTCCTCGCCCGCCGGGCATCCAGCTCCGCACGCCCCTACCTCAGTGGCCACCAGACCTCGGGGGGGGGGGCGCACAAGCCCCCTCGTCCCCCCGCCCCGCCCGTCGCGGGTCGGCCTGGCAGCGGGGCGGCGGGGTCCCAGGCAGGCGAGGAGGGCCGGGCGTGGGGGTGGGGAGCCGCAGCCGCCCCCTCCTTCCCCCGCCCCTCGGAGTCGCCGGGGCCGCCCCGCCACCGCCCCTTTGTTCCGATGGCCAATCCGCGGACTCCTTGACTAAATAAGGCGAGGAGCGCGCCCGGCGCCCGCCGTCCGTTACTTCCGTCCCCCGCCCCGCCGGTGACTCAGGGCCGGCGGCGGGCGGGGACCGGGCTGCCCTGGACGCGGTTTCCCGGGCGGCGCCGAAATCGCCAAATATGGCCGCGCCGCTCGCTGCCGCGCTCCGCCCGCACACCTGCGGCCGCACCTCGACTTCCCCGCCGCGAGTGACACAGCGGCGTTAGGGGTAGTAGCTGCCCCCGCCCCCGCCTCTCAGCCCTGCGGGTGGGGGAGCCCCGGGAATCTCGGCCTCCCTTCACTTTCCCCGCGACTCTTCGGCCTTGCACCCGGCGTCCTGAGTGCAAGGTGGGAAACTAGTGGCGTGGGGGCGGGGACAGAGGTCCCTGAGCCTCTGGCCCGTCCATCTGTCCCCGGAAGCGGCCCACTCCTCCCTGCATACACCAGACAAAGGAGGGTAAAGGTTACTGGATGGGGTGGCAGGCACCCCCGAAGTCAAGGGGTCCTGCCAGGAGCACCGGGTGGGCAGACACAGCCAGGAGATCTTAGATACTTTTTACCTCCCCCACATTCTGTGAGTGACATCTTGGGGCTCCCAAAGTGGGATCAGTCACCCAGTAACACTGATGCCCCCACCATAGGAACGACTCAGGGTGGGCTTTCTGGAGCCCAGCCCCAGGGTGCCCCTTGGTTGGGGCAGGCACCCGAGAGCCTTCCCTGCACCCGGGACAGTCTGGGAACTGCTGACCTACTAGGCCCGGTGGCACAGGTGGCCAAGGGCAAGGCCTTGGCGTCTGGAGACTGCAGCCCGCAGGTGAGCAGGGCAGCTGCTTCAGTTCCGGATCCAGCGTCCTCATCCCCAAATGTGGTCACCAGCTGACTGTGCAGGGTTCTCAGGGTGCCTGGCCCCAACCACCCTGCCCCCACAACCTCAGTCACCTGCCCCAGTCAAGCTGAGTGTCTGGGACAATGGCCGAGTTCCCGGCCTCCCTCTGCCTGGCGCCACTGCCACCCCTCTTGGCAAGTGCTCTTCCCTCTGCCTCTCTGGTTGCTATGCGGAGCGGTTCCCAAAGTTCAAGTGAACTCAAAGTAAAAGCAGTACACTTCTTCCCCTGTGGGCATAACCGGAGCACTGGCGCCAGCAGGTGCGGCCCGGCCTAGGACTGGTCTCCCAGCACAGGCTCCTGGGGAAAGGCCGCGCCCTAGACCAAGAACCCACAGTCTCGGGCGCCCGGGCCCAGGGCAGAGGCGCAGCAAACCCACCCCAGGCCTGGCCCTCCCCCAGTATGGCGAATGGAGAAAACTGATGCCCCTCAAGTCTAGCGGGGAGTGAGCCGTTCGGGAAAGCCGTTTCCCTTCTCTGGCTGCTTCCCTACAATGCCCCCAAGTCATTTAAATGAAAGACCCATTCTCTCCCTAGCGGATGGGGGGGTGGGGTGGCCCCAAATCCGGTGTGGAGCCCCGCTTGGGGACAATCGGGACTGCGGTTTGAAGAGCAGGATGCGTCACGTGTGGGCAACACCGGGCCTCTGCACCGTGCCCTGCCAGGGATCCTGAGCAGGGCACCCCCACCTGAGCAGGCCCCGGTGGGGCCTGAGCGGTCATAGGTGACCAGTGGGACGGGGTGCGAGGTCACGGATCCCCGGGGTGCCCCAGGCCGCGGGGCCAGAGCGCGGCAAGGGCGGCTTGGGGGAGCCCCCACCTACCCTTCCCCTCGCCTGGCACGGGCTCCGAAAACAGCCTTCGCAGCCCAGATCGCTGCGGAGCCTCGGGGGATGCAAAGCCCCGCAGGGGGTCCGGGCCGCGGCGACACACCCTGACTTGGGGCGCGGCCCAGCCACGGGCCAGGCGGTTTCGGGGTGCAGCCGGGCCCTCCCCCACAATGTGCAGCAGTCCCGGGGCGGGGCCTGCCGATCGGCCGCGCGGGGGCCTCCCCGCGACCCTCTCGCAAACCCGGGGGCCTCCTGCTCGCCCCACCCGCGCGCCAACTCGCGCGGGGCTTCGGGCGCGGGGTCTCCCGAGCCTGTCCGGCGCGGGCGGGGACGTTGGAGGCGGTGCGGGCGCGGGGCGGAGCCGAGCGCGGGGACCCCACGTGCCCCAGCCGGGCGGGCCAATGGGCGCCCGGCGTTCGGAAAGATCGCCATATATGGACATGTTCTGGGGCCGCGCGCGCCGCCGCCCCGCGCGCGCGCCCCGCTCCGCTTAAAAAGCGGCGGGGGAGGCCGCAGTCGGTCTCACTCACTGCAGCAGGGCCGCCGTCTTCGTCCTTTTGCACGTCTGCTCTCCGTTTTTCCGCGTCCCGCGACCGCCGCCCTCTCAGGTAAGCAGCTAGGTTTGCGAGCCCCAGGCCCACTCCGAGACATCGTACCCCTCTCCGCAGGGCCCCTCCCGCGCCGGGAGTCCCAGCACAACGTCTCCGTGAACAAAGGGTGGCGGGGCGGACGGGCGCTGGGCGGGCGCCCAGGCCGGCAGAGGGGGAGGGGGAGCGGGGCGGGGCCGGGCCGCAGTGCGGAGAGTTCCCGGTGCGCCGCCGCGGAGGACGGTGGGGGGCGTCGAGGGAGAGGCCAGCGCGGTTCCGGGCGGTTGTTGGTGCAGGCGGCGGGCTGGGGTCGGGGCCGGCGGGGAGGGGAGACGGCCTGGGTGAGTCCCGACCGGGCCCCTGGGCGCGCCCTGGCTGAGTCGGCCTCCTTCCGCTCAGATCGCTATGGAAGAAGAGATCGCCGCGCTCGTCATCGACAATGGCTCTGGCATGTGCAAAGCTGGCTTTGCTGGGGATGACGCCCCCCGGGCCGTGTTCCCCTCCATCGTGGGGCGCCCCCGACACCAGGGCGTCATGGTGGGCATGGGGCAGAAGGACAGCTACGTAGGCGACGAGGCCCAGAGCAAGCGCGGCATCCTGACCCTGAAGTACCCCATCGAGCACGGCATCGTCACCAACTGGGACGACATGGAGAAGATCTGGCACCACACCTTCTACAACGAGCTGCGCGTGGCCCCCGAAGAGCACCCCGTGCTGCTGACAGAGGCCCCCCTGAACCCCAAAGCCAACCGTGAGAAGATGACTCAGGTAGGTGCCGCCCAGCTGCCGCCATCGCCCGGCCCGCCGTTTCACGAGTCATTTTCTGTTCAGCTTTATTTTCTGAAATTCAAGTGTTTCTTTCGATATTTTCAGGGTTCTGTTCTCCTCCTGGCATTTCTTCCCTGAAGTCTCAAGGTTTCTCGTTGTGTTTTTGCCTGCTTTCCTTTCTGTCCTCACACATCACTCTGGGGGCATGCTGGCATGCGGCGTGTGAGCGTGGGGGGGTCTGGGTCCGCCCCCCACTGAGGGAGCCCGTTGCCTCTCGTCCAGATCATGTTCGAGACCTTCAACACGCCCGCCATGTACGTGGCCATCCAGGCCGTGCTGTCCCTGTACGCCTCTGGCCGCACCACCGGCATTGTCATGGACTCTGGGGACGGGGTCACCCACACGGTGCCCATCTACGAGGGCTACGCCCTGCCCCACGCCATCCTGCGTCTGGACCTGGCTGGCCGGGACCTGACCGACTACCTCATGAAGATCCTCACGGAGCGCGGCTACAGCTTCACCACCACAGCCGAGCGGGAGATCGTGCGTGACATCAAGGAGAAGCTGTGCTACGTCGCCCTGGACTTCGAGCAGGAGATGGCCACCGCGGCGTCCTCTTCCTCCCTGGAGAAGAGCTACGAGCTGCCCGACGGGCAGGTGATCACCATCGGCAATGAGCGCTTCCGGTGTCCGGAGGCGCTCTTCCAGCCCTCTTTTCTCGGTAGGTGTCGGGGTGGCGTTGGGGCCTTGCCCTCGGGCTGCAGGGGGAGGCCCAAGTTGAGGCTGAGCTTTGTCTGCTAGGCATGGAGTCCTGTGGCATCCACGAGACCACGTTCAACTCCATCATGAAGTGTGATGTGGACATCCGCAAGGACCTCTATGCCAACACGGTGCTGTCTGGGGGGACCACCATGTACCCCGGCATCGCGGACAGGATGCAGAAGGAGATCACGGCCCTGGCCCCCAGCACGATGAAGATCAAGGTGAGCTGAGGGTGGTTGTGGGCGTGGGCGGAGGGGCCCCCGGGGGGGTGGTGCCGGTGCAGGCTAAAGCTGGACTCTCCTCCGCAGATCATTGCCCCGCCCGAGCGCAAGTACTCCGTGTGGATCGGCGGCTCCATCCTGGCCTCGCTGTCCACCTTCCAGCAGATGTGGATCAGCAAGCAGGAGTACGACGAGTCGGGCCCCTCCATCGTCCACCGCAAGTGCTTCTAGATGGACTGTGGGCAGAGGCGCAGCACTTGCTGCGCGGGCGATCAAGTCCGAGTTGGCCCTGGCAGATGTACACACCTCATGCTGGCCTCGCGAAACTGGAATAAGCCTCCGAAAAGAAACCGTTCTTGAAGCTTGTATCTGAGCTCAGCACTGGATTGTAGACCTGGTTGCTGATTCTGACCTTGTATTCAAGTTACCTGTGCCCTTGGTACACACCTAACACCCTGCACACATCTTCAATTTCGGCCTCTGGACGTGCGGCTGGTTACTGGTGGCTTAAAGGGGGACATGATTCTGGGAGAGAAATCCAGGAGCTTGACAAGAAGCGTGCGTCCTGATGCGTGCAGGGTGTTAGCCCTCGGTTTCCCTAGAGGCCAAGAGGCCAGCACGAGTCCTGACCCCGCTGCCCTGTCCTGCCGGTCTGACGGGGCGGGGCGGGTCCAGGCCTCGGACCCTTTTCCTTTCTTAGCTGATGTTTCCTGCCAGCACATCTGGCTTGTTACTTGCCTTGAGTTGGAAAACGGTTTGCATTTCCACCTGTAAATTTATTCATTCTTTTAATTTATGTAAGGTTTTTGTACGTAATTCTCAGTTCTCGAAGAGAAGACAAATTTTGGTTTTCTACTGTCACGTGAGGACATTAGGCCCCAGCAACACGTCATTGTGAGGAAAATAAAAGTGCTGCAGTAAATCCGGCTGCTGTGTTGGGGGGCGGGGGGGGGCAGCTCCCGCTTGGTCAACGGGTCGGGGACCACCTGACCGCATGGGCCTGGCTGGGCCTCCAGGGTGTTCCCTTGTGACCCACGGGCTGGTTGGCATCTCATCCTCCAAAGCTGGACCTTGTCCTGATCCTTCACAGCTGGTCCCTGTTCACAGACAACCTACCCTTAGGGCTGAGACTTCACTGGGACTGGGGGGGGGTGGAACCTGTATCTGGTTGGGGACGGGGCTTGGGAGCATGTGAGAGGGAGGTATGTGCCCCTCTTTCAGGCCTCGGCTCTTGTCTGTCACCTCACAGGGACCCTGCAGTTGGGCCCCTGGCATCATTCCTCCCCCGAGTCCCGAGTGCCGGGAATGGCTGTGCTGCCGGGCTGGGAAGGAGCTGGTGTGGCTGCCCAGTGAGGGTCCTGTTCCACTGCACCCTGTGGCTGTGGGTGGGTGCGTGTGTCCTCCACGGGTGTTGAAACTAGTGAGGCCCCAGCTGCTCCCCGCACACAGCAGGGGTCAAGCTCAGCCCTCCACTCCTATGGGTTAGTAGTCTAGTTCTCAAGGGCCTGGCCCTTCATGTGGCACACTCGGGACTGGGGACAGGTGTCCCGACCAGTCACTGCCCACTGGAAGGGACTGGGCACTGTCCCAGGGTCTGGCACCCAGCCCCAGGGGGCCCCGTGAGGACCCCATGGCTGCTGGACACCCCACCTGTCTTAGTCCTTCAGCCCTGAGTGCACAGAAATGCGGCTCTGGCAGAGGAAGCGGGGCTCTGGCAGAGGAGACTGACCTGAGCCACTGTGACCTCGAACCGGCTTGGGAGGTGCGGCTCAGCGCCACCCACACCTGGGCCGGACCCGGGCTGGGCATCCGCAGCGTGGGAAGCAAGGACAGGTCCCTGACCAGGCGAAAGATGACATCAAACAAAGTGGCTGAGTGACGGGAAAGTGAATAAACATACAGAAGTTGAAACCTCAAAGGGTTGTAAATGCCTCTGTCTATGGAAGCTTCTAGATGCCACGCCTCTGCAGAGAAGTGCCTTGAATACTGGGGTCTCAGTATACCTCTGAAAGGCTCCCCTGCCCGAGGGCCACCGGCTGTCCTGGTGGTGGGGCTGAGTGAAGGACACCTGCTCATGCCCAGGGGACAGCCAGCAGCCCCCCCACCCAGAGGTCCCCATCCCCAGGCAGGAGGGGGACATTGTGGGGCACTCCCCTCCGGAGCAGCCAGTGTTTTTGCAGAAGACAGACCACGCAGGGAGGGAGATGGAGGGTTCACCCTGGAGGGGCTGGTGTCTAGTCACGGTGAGGGTGGCTTCCAGGACCCTCTCCCACCTGGTTGGAGGCCCTGAGACAGCACGGGAGCCGGGAGCCGGAGCTGCAGGGGTCCCCTGCTGCACCCCGCGCCCCCAGGGTCCCCACAGCTGTACTGCCTTGCAGCCTGGTTCCCCACGGGCCAACCACCCCGAGTCCTTTCCTGGGAAGCTTCCCCTCCCTTTCAGCTCCTGCCAGGACCCTTGCTGAGGTGCACCCTGGGTTTGGCCACAGGACGTGGATTCCTGAGGGGGGCGTGCAGGGCTTTAGGGGCCAGTGAGGGCGGCCCTGTTCTTTCCCGATGCTCGGGGACCACCTGCTCAGAGGAGAGGCTGCTCCGTCTGCCTGGGGGCCATGGAGGTGCCGTCTGAGCCGACTGGGTGGACGTTCTGTGTGACCCAGGAAGAGCTCCTTCCTGCTTGAGTCCCAGATGCTGGGGTCACTGGGGAGGCAGCAGGTCACAGCCTTGTGGCACCTGCGAGAGGCCCCCGGGGGGCCATGTGGTGCACCATCGGAGCGGCAGCCCAGCCTCCCTGCAACCTCGGACCCGCCACTTCAGTGCCTGTGGCCTGCGTCACCTGTCTCCCTCCCTGGCCTGCAAGATCATTTTAAATCATGGCAAGCCCTGGCTGGTGTGGCTCAGTGGACTGAGTACTGACCTGCAAACTGAAGGTTCTCCAGTTCGATTCCCAGTCAGCCCACTTGCCTGAGTTGCAGGCCATGGCCCCAGTAGGGGGCGCTTGAGAGGCAACCACAGGATGTTTCTCTCCCTCTTTCTCCCTCCCCCTCTGTGTAAAAATAAATAAGTAATCTTAAAAAACAAAAAACACGCAAAGGCAGGCAAATATGGAGGAGAAACGATCAGGGTCTGCACAGGTCAAGTCCTGGTGAGCGGGCACTGGTGAGAGTCTGCTTCCCAAGAGAAAACCACGGCGGGTCGAACGCGTTGTGCTCTCCCGAGTTAACATGCCTTCCTCCGTCCCTCCCTCCCTCCCTGCCTTCCTTTCTTCTCTTTTTAATCTGATTTTAGAACAGTTTTAGATTTCTGGAAAAGTTGCAAAGATAGTACAGAGTCCCTGCCAGTCCCCACCCCCGGCATCCAGGGTCTCCCAGACATGTCACACAGGGTGGGGCGCTTGTTACAATTCATGAGCCAGTCCCGATACATTTTTTTAACCGATGGCCACACTTTAGTTCTTCAGTCTTACAACCTATTGCTGCTCTTCTGGGCAGAACCTCCCCTGACGAGTGGGTGGCGGGACTCCGCGGGCTGCTGGGGCGCTGGCTGCGGCTCAGACGGGGCTGGTGCTGGGCAACCGGGACGAGGCTGAGCGCTGGGCGGGGCTTGTGCAGACGTCCCTGCGCTGGGACCTGAGTGCCGGTTCTCTCAGTGTCGGTCTGGCCTCGTGGGCTGGGGCAGGGAGACCACGGAGGCAAGGTGCCCTTGTCAGTGGTCAGGTCAAGGTCCTGCTCTCAACACGAGTCGCGGGGATGTGACCCTAGTCACCTGGCTGAGGCGGTTTCCCGGTGTCTTCAGGGTGGAGTTTCTGGAAGCAGGTGTTCTACATTCACATCCTGTGAGTAGTGAAAGGTCTTCTCGCTCGCACAGACATTTGCCTTTACTCCAGTCGTCGATTTTGTCCAGCGCCGATTCCCCAGGGCCGTCGGGAACAGCTGCGCCTTGAAAGCAGACGTCTCGCTCCTGACGTCCTGGGGGCTTTCGGCCTCATCCTTGTCTGTGGTCAGCGGCAGGGTTTCCACAGACTCTTGATGGGTCCAGGGAGTTTCCTTCCACTTTTATTTTGCCGTCGTTTATTTTTTGTCATGAGTGGGTGCCGCGTTCTGTCGCGTGAGTTTTCCGCGTCACCGAGAGGGTCATGTGTGTTTTTCCATCTGTCCTTGCACCCCGGGGAGTCCCGCCGTCTGGTGTTTGCAGATCACACCCGCCTCGGGCTCCTGGAGAGCCCCTCGCCCCTTCCGGTCGCGCTGTTCTTCCGTGGGTTGCAGGTGGGCGCTGCCCAATGCTAACTTTTACGCATCCGTGTCTCCGACGGGGTAGCCCTTCCTGCGAGCGTCCTTGTCCTGCGGAGTCTCTGCAATACGAGCCGAGGGGTGTTTGCCATGCAGTGGTTATGACCTCACCTTCCATGTGTGACAGAGTCCACCACCTGGAGACTGTGTGTGCGTGTACATACCTGTTCGCGTGTGTACGCATACCCGTACATATACGCAGGCAGTCTTTCCCTATCAGCTGCGGTCATTCGTGTCCTTCAGGAAATGTGTCTGTTTCAGCTAGATGACCAGTGCAAAGCTGTCCGCTCTCTTCCTGTCTTTGCTGTGAGCAGGGTCTGGAGGGACACTGCTCTGTCTCTCCCCGAGTCGGCGATCGGGGGTTTTTCTCGCTGCTCCCAGCCAGCTGCATTGTCTGTGGCTGCCATACGGAAGTGTCACGGACGGGGCAGTCTCCACGAGAAGAGTCCATGTTCTCACGATCAGAAGGTCAGAGGTCAAGGAGCCGGCAGGGCCCCTCCTGCTGAGGCCCGTGTCCTGGGCGCACGCAGGGCCGCCCTCTCCCTGCGTCCCAGGCGGTCATGCTTCTGCGAGTCTGCGTCCTGTTCTCTTCTCCTAAGGACCCCAGTCACACGGCCTCAGGGCCACCCCGGTGCCCTCATTTTAACTTAATCGCCTGTTCGAAGGCCCTGTCTCCAAACACAGTGGCGTTCTGAGGCACTGGGGTGAGGGTTTCAGAACGTGAATTTGGGGGGGACACCATTCAGCCCATCATCACTGCAGTTCTATCAAAGTTACTGAAGTTTAATTAAAAAACCAGCTTTTGGCCCTGGCTGGTGTGGCTCCGTGGATTGAGCCCCAGCCTGCAAGCCAAAAGGTCACTGGTTCGATTCCCAGTCAGGGCCCGTGCCTGGGTTGTGGGCCGGGTTCCCAGTAGGGGGCGGGTGGGAGGCAGCTGATTGGTGTAGCTCTCACACGGAAGTTTCTCTCCCTCTTTTTCCCTCCCTTTCTCTTTCTCTATAAAAGTAAATATTCTTTAGAAAAATCTAGCTTTTGATTTTATTGCCTTTTCTCTACTGCTTGTTCTCTTTCTGTGTCATTATTGATTTTTGCTATTATTTTTGTCCTTTCTTTTATTTTGGGTTTTAATTGTTTGTCTTTTTTTCAGGTCTTAAGATGGAAGCATGGACAAATTATTTTGGATCTTTCTCTCTCTCTTTTTTATATACTTTATTTATTTATTTTCAGAGAAAGGAGAAGGGAGGGAGAAAGAGAGGGAGAGAAACACCGATTGCTTGTCTCTTGCGCCCCCTACTGGGCACCCAGCCTGCAATCCACGCATGTGCCCTGACTGGGAATTGAACTGGGCACCCTTTGGTTCACAGGCCAGCACTCGATCCACTGAGCCACCCCAACCATGGCTAGGTCAAGTTTTGATGGCGTTGAGTGTTCAAGTCTTCCCTGCCCTCATTAATTTTTTCTTTGTTACCTCAGTTTCTGAGAGACGATGATGGAAATTTCTACTTGTGGATCTTCTGCGAGGTTTTGCTTCACTCATTCGGAGCTTTGTTAAAGTCCGCCCTCACCCTGGGGGTCGTCCTTGTCCTTGTGCCCGCTGGGTCTGACTCGGGCATGGCAGCCTCCTGCTCCAGTGGCCGGT